TTCCTGCTGTTGGACCATATGCCGGTGCTCTTGCCAATTGCTTAGTGAAGTAGAGCGTATATCTGACAGACAATCACTGAGAAACAGAAAAAAAATCTGTCGGACAGGATATATAGCCTCTGAAGGCAATCTTTAATGTCATGGCTGCAAACTTATGAGCCCTTTAGAGGAGAGATATCAGTATTCCCTCCTATTAGTTCTATAGGATCATCATTACCTCTCATGGTTATTTATGGAGGAAATGTTTTAATGTCAACGGTGCTCTAAATCTAGCACAGAACCATTGCAGCTTGCTTCCCACAGAGGAATCAGCTTTCCAACATAATTCCTCTACGGTAAGGTTGAGCATCTTTAGGGTTTGTTTTGAAGGACGGCAGGACCATCTGAGTCGCCTTTAATTCCGTATTAGCGCTGCAGAGGAAGAGTCAGTGAAGACTCCACCTCTGGGAGCTGGACTGATATATGCAGCTATCAGTTCATTTGCCAGCTTGCAGAGGGACTGTTGGGTGAAGGGCGAACACTGGAATTTTTAACAATACATGTAGCTACAATAGCTTTCATTCTATTGTCCTCTATTCCCATGGCAACTAGCTCTACTGACAAATTAATTTTCTTCTGCTATTAGAAAAAGGAACTTAAACCACTCCAAACCCTCCCATTCAGGTTTTCCAGAAAGTTATTTTTGGTCCTCTAGTTTCTATGTTTGAAATCCTGTTGTCGATTTTTCCCCCAGATAAATGGCACTCCCTCTACATTTAATTTCCTCCACTATTCCCCCGCCCCAAAAGCGATATAATTAGACAAAGCAGCAGATAAGCAGCCAGAAAGATGGAGGAAAAACAAACATGCCCCTTGCTTATCCACATAATTCTAAACATCAACATCTCTTTAAGCATCTCTGATGAAAACATGAAGTTCAAGGAGAGAGACAATCAATGTACTAAATAGAGCTGGTTAAGACAGCTTTATTCAAATTGCCAAAAGTGTCAAAAATCTGTCACATTACCCTCCATGTCATTAATGTGAACACCCTAATAGCAGCACCAGACTGACACTCTCAAAAATCAGACTGTTGACTCACACATCCTGGCTTTGCATTTGGAAAACAAAACTGAGTTTTGTCTCTCACTAATAAAAAGCACAAGTGTTTCTGAACACATGCTTATGGTTTATAAGCTACTCTACAACATGGGAGAAAAATGACCAAGGGTAAAGCTATTTTACACTCATGTCTCCTCCAGACTTCCCACATTAGTGGGGAAAAGAGGAAGAGTCAGAACACCAAAAGACTGACAACCAGATCTTCAGAGAGGCTGTTGCTTTAATAGTTTAATATAGATTTCAAGAGCATTAGAAAGGGAGCGAGGTTAAGAAGCAGAGCTTCCACCTTTCACTGTTTAAGCAGAACTTAGACCCTTCACTGCTGAACGCCAAAACACAAACGGTTCTCACACACTAAGAAAAGTCCTAAATACTAGAATGGTTAAAACTGATTACTTGAGGTGCTACAAAAACACAAGCACAATCATTTCAGACTTATTGTAGGTAGCATCTTTAGTCCATTTTTGCTTTTTAAAAACTCTTCTTAGCAGCGTGGAAAAAACACCAGTAGACACAAAAGTACGCTACAATCTGGCTGTGAAAACAGTGTATGAGCTGACATTACTAGGAGAAGGGAAAGATTAAAACATTTCAAAAAAAAGCAGGAGCACAGCAAAAGTAGAAAGGACACTTGGGGCAGAACAGCTCTAATTTTTTTAAGCTGACATTTGACTACACAGGTTGCAGCAAATATTCTGACACTCAAGCAACATCACATGCACTTTCACTGGCTGTAGTGTTGGAGTTTATTTGAACCCATGCATGAGAAAAGCAGCAACTTTAGGAATCTTCAAGTGCAGACACCGCTAACCATTTCTTTCTCTGTAGCCAGGTTTGCTAGAAATTCTAACTCGTGGCATGATCTGCAAATAAAAAAAGTCTCAGGATGTTAGAAAATAACTTCAATAGTCATCAAAATTTTAACAATAAACGTCAATACTAAGCAGCAATTAATCCATGCCATTTAGACACCTGCTGTTCACTACAGCACCGTATCTGAACAAAGACATTGTAGCTAGTCAGGACAAAGACTAGCTTTTAATTTCAGAGGCAACATTATCAGCTAACTGATGAAGTAAATCAGGTTTGTTGTGGGACTGTCAAAAGATTTTCACAACCCAAAGGAAAAAGTCTCCTAAAATCAGCTTCATCTTATGAAAGTCATTAGCTGGGCTTGGTTATCATGATTCACAGGGATGCTTTAAGGGGCAATTCCCTTCAGTCCAGAACCATTGCATTGCTTTAACTTGCACTGGCCCAATTCGCTGCAGTCCGTGGAAGATTAAGCGTTCTAAAAATTTGCGTGGACCAAGACCTAGAACGGTGACAGAAGGCGAATAGCACTAAGAAAACAGTAGTATGCACACTGCCTCACTTCAAAAAAACAAACACCAAGGAGCAGGCTGTAAATCCAAATCCTCTTCACGGCCTGTATCAGTAAGAGGGCCATTCCGAGAATCAACACTGTTACTTCTGTGCTGAGCAACGACATAAGGAGGAAAACCTGACCGCTCTAAGGCGTGATGGACAGAAGCAAATCCTTTGCCTACTCCATCCCTTATTTTCATTATGCAACTTCCTCTGGCTGCAGGAAAGCCCCAGGCAGCTACAAAGCGACTCTGATGCAGAACCTCAAATTCAGCAGTATCCGTATGGGAAACTGCTCTCCCTCCCTTTACAACCGTTGTGAATTCAAAGGGAACTTTAAATTCAAGAGAAGCTACACTTGCAGTTTTTCTTAGTACACATGCTTACCTAGTTTTTCTTCTATACCATTACTAATATTTTGTCTTCTCTAATTCCAAAGCATTTAAATTTTCTAAATTGTGCTATAGGTGAATCTTTGCAACACTTATGTCTAGGGTGCATTTCAATTCTTTCATTGTACTCCTGTTTTCCTGTACAGGAAACTTTATTGGAATCCACACATTAAAATAAGCAGTGATATAACGGCTTGTAAAGAACTCTAATAAGAAACAAAGAGGAAACGGCTTTTATGGCCTTATCCCTGAAAAAAATCCTCAATGCACAACCTGAAATGGACACTAAATTAATATGAAATTTGCAGATATAGAAACCAAAATCTATTAGAGCCCAAATCGGCTCCTTCCTGCAGCATCTACTTATTCCATCCCCATAAATTCCATACCAATAAAAGTTTCAAGTAAAGTAGCAGTTACATAAGACTTTTGTGCAAGCCATAGGAATGACAGCATTTTGTAGATTGCCAGCCTCTGGGAGAGCTCGTGGTATTTTGCTCATCATAAACTTACTTCATTTTGCTTCAGGCTCTAGTACATTAAGTCTCAAGAACAGAGGGACTTGTAACTTCACACCTTTGAATTTCTCCTTACCCATTAGCTAAACATCAGGTCACTATTTTAATGCAAGTGTCACCCAAAACAACCATTCAAGTTTCCCTTTGTATCTTGAGACTGGATGTAGATAATTATTCTTTACATTTCTGTAACTGTTCTGCTTGACTTACTGGGCATCAAACTACTTCAGAGTCTGCTGCAAAATACTGCTCCTCACAATGCTTTCACTTACAGAAAAAGCTTCTCATACAAAGTAAAATCTCAACACAGGAGTTTTGACCTAGTGCTTTCCAAGGTATTTACATTTTTGTTGGCAAATCAAGTAAAAGGTAGAAAAACTGTTTATTCCAGTGTTCAAAGCTACAACATAAAACAGTTCTAAACTGTAAAGGGTCAAGTTAACGTGCACAAAGATTTTTTTTCCTTCCTTTCTCTCTCTCAAGACCACTTCTACTTCAAAAAACTCATTTTTTCTACAGCTGAAAGCCAGGTAATTCTTTCAGTAAAGTAATATTTATAGCGTGAGATGGTTGCTCGGTCTTGGAAAGATGGCTAGCAGCCATCTTAGGAAGCCATTCAGTGAGCCAAATAGGAAGATTTTAACAAACATGCTATGCCTAACCTATCAAAGTTTTAAAAAGCTTCATTAGGCACTCACTACCTCTGCAGGACACCCTTGATTTGAGTAAAGGCTGATAAAAAAAATCAAATATATATTTCAGGGTAAAAAAGACAGGAAATGAAAATGGAGCAGTTGCATCTTAATACATGCCTCTTTGCATAACCATATGCCCCAAAACCTTATTAGCATTCTTTTCCAAAGCCAGTGCTGTTAGGCAGTGACTTTTCCCAATTAAACGGCTCATTTTGCAGCCAGCAGCTACCCGCTTGGTTAATGACACCTTTAGCCCTCACAATGCCCATTTAATGAGAACATTTTCCACCATTTAACACTGCCAGATTTTTGTCAGGCTAGTCAGTGCAAAGCTTTCCAGAGTTTCAGAATGCTACGTGAAGCCACAGCTTTTCTCTCTCGCTACTTGTTTCAATAACACCAGCGCAGCAGAGGCCCATGCGTACTACATCACCCCAAAAAGGACAGTGACACACAGCATTACAACACATCGATACCTTTGCTCCCTAAAGGCTCGCTGTCTTGGAGGACAAGTTTCCTTGCCAGTAGGCTAGCACATCAACACAGCAGAAATCAATTAAAGAAGCAACACTGCTGAATTGTATTTTTGCTATGTTGTCTGCTGTGTTACCTGCTGGAATTTGACCCACGAGGAAGATAGATTTCTTGCGGAACAGGGCAAAACATTCCACTTTTGCATTTACTGAAGGTTAACTTTACTGTTGAAAAGACTTCAGGTTCTGGCATATCTTTTTTTGCTTGGATTACCAACATCAATCTCTTTACGTTTTTCTTTCTTTCGCAGGCCTAAGACATCGTCTCTCATTGCAGGCTGAGTCTGTGACACAACACTTTCAGTAGCATGCAGCGTCCAACTATGGTAATATGAGACCTCTTCTGATAAATAGCTCGGGCACTTTACAACATATACAAGTGTAGGCTCTCAGCAAAGGTGTCTACTTGATTAAAACAGAACTTCATTGTGGAGACAATCGAAAGAAACGTTCAGTAACTTAGCATCAGGCCTGTTGTATAGTTCACTAGCATCAATTTAATTTGATCTTCCATGTGCCAAGACTTAAGAAGTGTTTTTCTTCTAATTAACCTCTGGTTTGTCACCTTTAACATCTAAAAAAAAGTTCCTAAAATAAAAACACTCTTTTCCCCTCCACCCAGCTCTCATACACACAATTTGGCTATTTTGTTTAGCTGCTATAAACACCTTTACATCCATTCCTGGAGAACAGCAACTACAAAAAAGCCTATACTTCCTTTCTGCTTCCCCCGACAGAAATACAACGCTGCAGTCATATTTATGCCTCAACAGGGCAACAATTACTAATAGGTAAGTCTCATCACTGCCTGCCTTGGGCAACAGAGCTAAAACAGCAGCTGAACTTAACTGAACGATCAAGTGTCTGGCCAAAGAGTTGCTGGTAGCACTAACATGCAACTTGTTCACTGGCTTGCCAAGACAGCTGCTCTCATTCTCAGAGCGTGGACCTGATGATATTCTAAGTTCATTTATATGAGCTTTTACCCTTTATATAAAACTATACATTTACAAAACCAAAACTCTGTCTTCATTACTTGTCTTTCAGAATACAGGAGCTCTGACTCACTGACATTTACCGCCCTTAAAAGGATGAGCTTTGGAAGCTGAGAAATAACATGCACATGAGAAATGAAGAAATTCATCAGAAGAGTGTTTAAAGATTGCTTACAAATATTTTAAAGATCATAAGTCTTTGGTTCATTGGTTTGGTTTTGGGGGGGAGGGGACTAAAAATTACTGCACTACCTGAATGGATGAACCTGAAAACATTCTTCCTAAGGTAGGCCTTTGTGAGCAAAGAAGATGAAAGAATATTGAATTTTAAGTTCTTTTCACAGCTACGCATTTAACACGTCACCAGTAGCAAGTATTTAATTTGTCCAAGTCTCTTTAAGAAGTCAGAGGGACAAGGTGTGTCAGCCCAAGGACCTGTCCCCTAACATAGATTGTTTTGGTAACACATTAGGGTTTGAGCAGGTTTCCAAGAAATGACGTAATGCCTACCTTCAACACTTGAAGCAAGTTCCAGAAGAACTCAGTCCTGCTCTCAAATGTAACTGTAAGAAGGAAAAAGGTTTTTTTTTTCTTTTTTTTTCTTCCTTCAAAAGCAAGCACTATTTTAAGGATTTACTTCAGAAGATTCACTCTAATTTAAAATTATGTAGTCATACATAAAATGACTGAATTGTTGATTGCACCTTTTAGCCAAACTCGCTCAGCACTTTTGAGAGTCAAGAGTAGTTACAAAAATTTTAGAAAGAGGGTACTATTTCCTTCATATGCTAAATCCACACCCAACTGCTTCTACCTCACTCCAGTACTTTTGAAACAACAAACAGAAGTATCTGTTTCCCCTGCCTCCTCCACATCCAGGTGCAATTCTTGGTATCTACATAATGTTAATCCCCGCAAAACTCCAGAGGCATGTTATCCCCATTCCACAGACAGAATAGGCAGCAAGCAAGAATGTCTTGCAGGCCACAAGGGATGGCAAAAATAGGATTAAACAGTTCAAGAATAGATCTGTCACTTCTATTTATCCCTACAAAAAAGGAAAGGACCTTGTCCTGATGCAGTTAAAAATTGGCATCCTTTTAACTGCATTTCAAAGGAAACTTGTTCCATCTTCCACTGATTCTCTGGAGAAAGAGGCATGCATAGAAAGCATGTCAAGCTACTAATGTCTGAGCACTTGCAAGCTTCAGGCACAGGAAGCTCCTTCATCTCTGCCCCCTTAATGACATTAACAGGTCAAAACAGCAAAACTTCTGAGGACTCAGCACTATTACAATGAAGAATACTGAAGTCTGCCATTCCTCCATAAAGATATCAGATACAATACGCAAGAAGCTTGAAATAGCTTCAATCTCTCCACTGTGATGAGTTCTTAACTGTAAGAGCATCCCTCTAGATCTGGGGTCAAAACACGTTGCTTACTCAGAGGCTTTTTCATCTATGGTACCTAACAAGTGAATGTGAGACAAGCTTTCATGGCTGCACCCCTCTTCCTCTGCAGTTTGCAGCAAGGGGGGGGGGGGGAAGAACCCTGAAATTCTACAATTTATCCCTACAAAACTGCTTGAGGCTACATCTATGTTACACCTAGACTGGTATTTGAAAGCAAGAATTAGGAGGTAAGCACAGGGCAAGACCGAGTTCAACACAAGTTTAACAAAGAGCTTTATGGAGAAAGTACTGTTCTGTGTGTTAAGCTGTTAAGATGTTAGTAAAGCGTAAAAGCTCCAGCCAAACTCACATACCTTGTATCATATAGGTTCAAAAAACCTCACCTTTGTTCTGTGAAAACGTCATCTTCTGGGACATCTGCCTTCAGAGTTTTCTATCTGAAAAACACAGATATCGAAAGGAATTAAGAGCAAGAAAAACTGATATAAGACACAAATTCAAAGGATTTTTCAGAGTTTTAAGGAAGCAGTGGATTAGATGCATATTCTTTCCCTCTGAGAGAATGGGGTGGGGGAAGGGCATGGACTACAAAACCACAAAGTAAAAACACTGCGCAATCCTGTATTTCCAAGGAAGCATCCTGAGTGGAGGAAGACATCAGGAAAGCTACATTGACAATTCTCAAGTGTGCCGCTCAATATACTGAGTACACAGGACTGCTGATGTTTGATGGCAGAAAACTCAGTTGTATCTCTTGTCCTTCACACTGAAGGACAAGAATAGTTTCTGTACCCTACCCCTCCACAGGTGTGAATCCTCCATCTTTCATGATTTAATAGTAAAGAAAAAAGAAAAAAGGTAAAGTGAGAAGCAATTGTCAGCTGTGGATCATTCCTAAGCGCTCACAGGTTTCAGAGCTCTAGCAAAGACATAGCCTTTTCCTCTCTGCCACCTAATGACACAAACATGGCACAACAGCCACATTTGCAACACGAGCTGGGGCATGGAGCTAATCAACACAAACTTGAATGAACTACTGCTCACCTTGGGTCTTTGAGAAAACCTCCTGGGTCTGCCATGTTTACGTGCCTTTCTCTGAAAAAGAAAAAAGATAAATATAGAGAGCATTTATAGTATCTATTTAGGCAGGCATCAAAGCCTGGTACCATGGCTATTGTTTCACTGCTGACAGAAGTTTGAGAGGCCCAGTCCAAGAGGCAAGCTAAAGCAATAAAAAGACACAGAGAAGGCAAGTTTTTACCTTCAGAAGAGGAAGAGGGCTGCAGGCATACAACTCCCAGAATCTGCTCCCAGAGATGTCATCAACTTGCCAATGCCAGTGGCCTTAGATCACTTCAACTCACATTCTTCCAGCTGTAACACAAGTAAAGCTATGTGCCAACCGTGCCTAAACTTTTCAAGATTAAACATTAAGAAAGCCCTGCAGCCTTTCTGCTACACATCTACTACAGTATATATAGGACAGCATTCATTTCTACTGCATATAGATCTCGCACTTAAATCACAACAGTCAAAAAAAGGAAAGAAAAAAAAAAAGAGGTTTAGTTTCTCAAGAGCCTCCCAATAAAACCAGCCTATGAATAAACAATGTCAGGCTATCAATCACTCTGAATGCTCACGGGTTTCAGAACAAACGAGCGTAGAATATAGCCTGTTTCTCTCTGCCACCTTATGACACAAAGATGTCACAGCAGCCACCTTTGCAACGCCTGTAGGGGCAGGAACCAATTCAATATCACCTTATAAATAAGTGGAAGCTACATGAAAAACCATACTGAAGATTACAATGCATCAAACAAACAAAAAACATTTCATTACATTTGCACCAGTTTGAAACAAAAAAAAAAGCTTAGAATAACCTCTTACACGATGTGCAAGTAAGACTTTTCTCTTGCTTATCCTCAGAGAACACTTCCAAAACTGGTTACAATAGGTAAGAGTAAGGCCAGATGGGTCACTACCTCCCATTAGCCATGAATGAATCCGATATACCCAGTAGCCCAGTTTGAACTATTTCACTCATCAAGCTCAACACTACACTTGCATGTACTTATCAAACCTGATTCTTAAGCAAGTCAACCACTCTTCTTCGGCTTACTGAAACTAGTACTTCAAGTCATTCTGCTGTGTAGGAAAACCACTAAGACTTAAAAAATGAGATGTTTACAGGTAGATTGTGTCACCTATTCAGTAAAGTACTATCACAAAGGTATCTGGTCTATCTGTAGATAGAAAATGTAACACACCACTTAGATGATGAAATTCCCGTACTCATTTTCAAGACTCACTAGCGTTTTTTCTTGAATTATCAGACTTGGATAACCTTAAGCTCAAATCCACTCACCTTTGATTTGTCAAGATGGAAAAATCTATTTCACTTCAACTGTCTCTCTTCTGTGGGGCAGAACTATAAGAAGAAAGCAGAAAGAACACATTTACTAATGAACAAATGCTTAGCTGACTACTTGATTTTCTTTTTGAACTATACCACTTAACACTGTCCCAAGGAACCAGAAGACTGCGCCTGACTGGGGGACAGAATCCTTCCTCTAAACTTTTCCAGTAGGGTAACATATATGCTAAACTTATACAGCATATCATTAAGAAATAAAATGCAAAAGAAAGACTATAATAGCCAAAGAACTTTTTAAAAAACAAATGAAATTAAGAAGATTCTTGAAAACAAACTCCTCTTCTTGGCAGCTTCATCTGTCTAGCTAAATAGCTTTAAAAATTGTCTCTGAAAATATGATTTGATTTACTGAAGTGACAATACCAACAAAGCCATGCAAACTGCTGCAATGCCACTAATCAGTGAAGAAAGCTGGATATATCTGCACATTAACTCCAAAAAAGTCTAAATTAGACACGAGTAACGAGTCACTAAAACCCAGCCAATGAGAAAATTAAGGAAAACGCTTCAGTAAAATAAGAGACCTTCTGCATAGAACTTGAGACCAAAATTCAGCAAGATTACGGTGGAGCTCAGCCACCCTGAAGTCTATGTTAAGAACAACTGTTTTACAACACCCCGTAGTTCTCTCAGCACCCCCCGCCATGTCGTATCACATTACGGCATTAATCTTTCTGCTTTACCGGGAGTGCCCAGAGCGGAGGGAGCACCGCAGAGGGTCCAGGGGATCTACTGCTCTCCTCCTGGCTGTCTCCAGCCACGTGGCTGAGCAGGGCACACTGCTTCCTATCTGAGTCCCAGGCATCCCCACAAGGCGTTGG